GAGAGAGAGAGAGAGAGAAAGAGAGTCTACGAATAATATAATAATGTTACCCCCCCTTCTTAATGTGGATTGAATGAGATTATAACAGTGGGGCGGTCGCCTGTGGTTTTACCGTTGTGAGACTTTCAGAATGTCCAGTGGCCCGAGTAATAGAAACCACACACGTATCACAAAGGGAGCTGTACTTTCGCAGATTCTGAAGAGAAAAGCGGATATTTTCACGTTTGACCTACCAACATATCTTTGAAAAGAGTTGAAAAGCCAGTGCGTTGTACCACAAGGAAAGGGGAAATGCTCAGATTGATTGAAAGTAAATGAAAGGGGTCGTGTCCTGTTTAGCATGTTTACAAGAGGTCAAATCATTTACGGTTTTTGGGAACGGGGAGAAGAAGGAGACAGAAGATTAATGTGGCTTTCTTTCTGAGGAGTCTGTGTCACTTTCCTTCGCTTGTTGACATCTGATTCAAGACGCCTGCGATTGTGTGGAGTGTAGTGGCACTTGACGCTGATAGAATACCGCACTCGTATAATGTTATGATGAAGGACGATCTGTAACAACGTTCTGACTGTAAACAGCGTGTATGTAGGTCATGGGTTCTTGGTTGTTTGGGGGGGGGAGATCTCGGTCAGAGATGGAAAGCTATACATTTTCGACAGGTAAAGGGGAGGAGCAACTGGATAAGCGTTGATCTTGAGACTCATGGATAGGATCATAAGTGAAAATGGCACGCCTCATGCCACAATGCACTGTGATAGGTCATCAAGGTTAACCACTCCTTGCTGGCCATATGCCATAAACCCACCAAGGGGTCACATCAGTTCATTTTAGTTTTTGAGTGGAGGGAGACCATTTTACCGATTGTGAGCCTTAACATGGGTCACCATAGATTCTTCCCTGGGTTCGTCGGTTAAGATCCCGGTTCGCCCAAGATCCTGCATTTCCTTGTTCCTGAGCACCGGGATCTTAGGCGGAGACTACTGCACAACAAAGATTATTAAGTCACTTCAGAAACCATCAAATCAACTTGCAAAAGCCTAAAACGAGAACAAGTCAGATCAAACTCCGAGATCCAGTTTAACTGTTATATTTGATTTTGCAAGATCATGCCACAGACAAATCTATGTCAAATGTACCGGGAAGCAAAAATAATTTATTCCAAAAAAACTTTTGGGGAAATGTTTCTCTTACTCTTACAACAGTAGAACAAATCTGCACCTCCAGCGCGTTTGGTTCAAAGACATGTTCAGCTTTAACTTAAACAGTCACCACAATGTTACCTCATGTCAAAGTATCGAGGTACTTGTCAGAAAAAAACTATATCAGTCAACTATCCGATTCGTTTACCAAATCATCACACAGAAACCTACTCAAAAGGAAATCCTGGAACAGTTGCACTTGCTTTTGCCTACATTGTAAAAGTTTCTAAGGCAATTCTGACATAATCTTAAACAGGTAGTACATGCCTCCAAAATAACCATTATTGTGTTGAAATAGGGGCATAAATAAGACTCAATTCAGGTTGAATACAGAAAGCATTGGTATGGGTGCCGCTACTCACAAAGTGAACTTGGCTGCCACTGAATTGATCAAAACAACAACCATGAACAAAATTAAAAAAGAAGGAGAAATTGTAGTTGTGAACAATTTATTATTAAAAGCAACAACAGAATCCTCAATCAAGAGGACTTCGTCACAAGAAGTCACATTCAAAGTTAAAAAAAATAAAATCAAGCACCAAATTAGGACGTGTCAGGTTTACAACTTTACTTTTAATAAACAAAATAAAACATGCAAGTACCTCCCTCACTCTTGGGTGCCTCCCACTTAAAATATATCTGTCTGCAAGAAATGATGATGAAAACCTGTGAGTCCGATTTCTTAAAAGTAAAAGGGTACCATGCTAAAAAAAAACATGTTTTCAATAAATCTAAAAGAGAGGTAGGCCTACTACTATTTGTCCAGGGAGAAATTTTCCTTTAGATGAGCAGTAAACCCTGAATTCACACAACCTAATTTGGCACTTTACAATGAAACACATTCACTCCCTTCCTAATTGACACACCATCTGCTTCTCGTGAACATACATAGAAAATGTATTTACAACAATTGATTTTTTCCCCCAGTTTTGTGCCATTAAAATGGTAACAAAATGACACTGAATGTTTCAACAGAAAAAATTTTGGTGACTGTATCTGTTCTTACAGCCAAACCAAAAAAATCGCTTCTTTTCCGTGGACCAAAAGTGTAGTATCGGGCCCTAAACCAGAACATGACTAAAGACCAAATGTGCAGTACCCTCATTCTTGTGTGTAGTATCCGAGCTTATGAAAAGCATTATTCAAAATGCTAGGCAAAATTTATGCCTTACAGTGTAGCATCTGAACCTTCGAATGAAGTACCTGAACTTATCAGCACAAATAAACAAACTGATACATGGCCTCAATAGCAAAGTTGAGAGGTCTCGCATTAGAGCCGATTACTGCAGTCCCACACTGAAAAACAAAATAAGATTGTCTGTGACTTAAGTGTAAAATCAGAACGACAGTGCGTCGCTTATGTCTACAGTCTTGAATACTTACCAAGTCAAAGTCAGACTGTTCGATAAATTGTATAAAATGAAACCATGAAGATATTGCATTAATCTTAACCATGAACTTAAAAGCCATCAGATTCAGTGAGAGCACTATTAATTGAAATGGGAAAACCAAAATCACTTTAAAAAACAATCATTTGTTCTCAAGACACGAATGAAATTTTTTACGTTTCATTTCTAAGAGATGACACTTTTTTTTTTACTCATTACAAAAATTACTAGTCCTCTTCCATATCATCATTGTCATCATTGTCATCATCATCATCATTATCTTCTTCCTGATAACCAGATGCCTGATTGCCTTCATCTTCATCTTCGTCCCCTCCTTCTGGCTCCATTTCTTCTTCCTCTTCGGCCTGATTTCCTTCTTCTTCTTCTTCTTCTTCCTCCTCCTCCTCTTCTTCCTCTGCACTCTCTTTTGGCTCTGAAAAGACAAACAGCAAAGAGAAAACAATACATAAAACATGTTTCTCCTTTGAAGAAAAGTGGAATTGACACATCTCCCTATCACAACCGCTTGCAAAGACAAATTCTGCAGCGCACAATACACAGAGGAAGACATTAATGGTCATTTAGTGCAGGAAAAGAGTAAGACAAGACAGCAGACAGACAGAAACAAAAGATGGAACAAAACAAATAGGAATGCAGGAAGGGAGAAGCAAAGACAAGCAAAGAAGAGGTGGGAGGACAACATACCAGAGGGGGCAGGCCTGTATTTCAAATATATGGCCTTAAACTCCTTTTCATTTAAAAGTTAACATAACAAGACCTTTAAAATCTGGAATGTCAGACAAACGTAATCATATAAAATATTTCAAACGCTGTGACTTTAAAAAAAACCCAAAACCAAGAGAATATCTGCTTTGAGTTGAGCTTAATCAAGCCAGCACAATGAAAAAACCATTCTTGTTATGCTCTTACTAACGCTCTGCCAATTTGCATACATACTAAATCCTCAGTGATAGACAAAGTTAGGCAGAAA